AACAATGTTATTAATCCATGAACATGGCATACGTGTCTATTATTTGTATCTTCAATTTCTTTCACTAATGATTTCTAGTTCTCACTGTTAAATTTATTCCTAAGTTGTTTTTAATATTATACAAATGGGATTGTAGTTTTTGGTTTCCTTTTTGGAGAGTTTGTTGTTAAATATAAAAATGCTACATATTTTTATATATTGAGTTTGGACTTTGCAATTTTACTGAATTTGTTTATTCTAACAGTTTTGGTGAAGTCTTTAGAGTTTTTTATACATAAGATCATGTCATCTACAGACAAAATTTAACTTCTTCTCAGATTTGGATACCTTTCCTTCCTTGTCTAATTGCTCTGGCTAGGACTTCCTAGAATGGTGAGAGTGGGCATCTTTGCCTCGTTCCTGATGTTAAAGGAAACGATTTCAGCTTTTCCTGAGTATGATGTTAACTATTGGCTTGTCATACTGAGTCAATATTATCAACCCTTGTCATATTCAGTTACATTCCTTCTATAACTAACTGGCGAGAGCTTTCATCAAAAGAAGATGTCGAATTCTTTTAAATGCTTTTTCTGTGCCTATCAAGATGATCACATGATTTTTATTCTTCATTCTTTTAATGTGGTGTATGTATCATGTTTATTGATTTAAGTATGTTAAACCTTCGCGTACCCCAAACACAAATGTCACTTCATCATTGTGTGTGATCTTTTTAATGTGTTGTTAAATTCTTTTTGCTAGTGTTCCAGTGAGGATTTTTGCATCTGTGTTCATCAGGGATATTGTTGTACAGTTTTCTTCCTTTGTGGTGTCCTCATCTGGCTTTGCTATCAGGCCTCATGAAGTACAATGAGAGTCATTCCCTCCCCTTTATTTTTTGGAAGAGTTTGAGGATTGGTATTAGTTTTTCTTGAAATGCTTGGTAGAACTCATCAAGGAAGCCATCTAGTGCTGGGTGTTTCTTTCGTGGGAACTTTGTGATTATTGATTCAATTTCCTTAATCATCGTTGGTCTCTTCAGATTTTCTATTTCTTTTTTATCTCTCGACGTTTCCATAATGCATATAATGTCCTTTGATCATATTCACCCCTCTATTATTCTTTCTTATCCCCTCCTCCCTCCCCCTTTTCCCTTCCCTTGCATTTCTTTATGTCAGTCTTCATAGGTTGTCTGTTTCTAGGATTTTATCCATTTCTTGTAGGGTTTTCAATTTGTTGGAATGTAATTGTTCATGGCAGTCTCTTAGGATCTTTGTATTTCTGTGGTATCAGTTGTATACATTATTTTGGGGGGGGCAGTACTGGGGTTTTGAACTCAGGGCCTCACACTTGCTAAGCAGACGCTCTACCAGTTGAGCCACTCTGCCAGCCCTGTGGTATTAGTTGTGGTGTCTCCTCCTTGATTTATAATTTGAGTCCTCTCTTGTTCTCTTAATATACTTAAAGATTTTTCAATCTACTTTACCTTTTCAAAAAATCAACTTAGTGTCACCCTCCCTCTTTCCCTCCTCTCTTCCTTTCTTCCCTCCCCCTCCCTCCCTTTCCCTCTCCCTTCCTCCCTTCCTTCCTTCTTTCCTTTCTTCCTTCCTTTTACTTGTGATTGAACCCAGGGCCTTAACCATGCTAAGCACACATTCTACCACTGAACTACATCCCCAAGCCCCCCTAACTCTTAGTTTCATTGATATTTTCTGTTGTTTTTCTCAACTCTTTTTCTTTTTTTGTTACTGTGGTTGCTGGGGGCTGAACCCCAGGCTTTAAGCATGCAAGCACATGCTCTGTCACTGAGCTGCACCCTTGCTGTCTCTGTTTCATCTATTTCTGTTCTGATGCTTATTATTTCCTTCCTTCGAACAACTTTGGGCTGAAGTTGTTCTTGCTTTCTTAGGTCAGTTCCTTGAGATATAAAGTTGGGGTACTTATTTGACATCTTTTTCTTCTAGATAGGCATTTATTCCCTCTTAAGATTGCTTTTGTTGCATCCCATATTTTTGGTAGTCTTATTTCCATTTTCATTAGTCTTAAGATATTAATAATTGGTTTTTATTTTTATGTCTTTTTGACCCATTGTCTGTTTAGTACCACGTTTAATTTCCACATATTGGAGTTCCCAATTTTTCCTACTATTGTGGTTGAAAAGACACTTGCTATGTTTCAGAATTTTTAAGACTCATTTTGTGCCCTAACATTTGATCTATCCTGGAGAATGTTCTACGTGTGCTTGAAAAGAATGTGTATCCTGCTGCCATTGGGTGGAATGTTCTGCTTATGTCCGTGGTTTCCTTCTTAATTTGTGTCTGGATGATCTACCTGTTTTGAAAGTCAGTTCTTTTTTATCTTCTTAATAGGGTCTTTTGAAGAGGAAATGTTTTAATTTTCATGGGGTTTGATTACCAAGTTTTCTTTTTATGGCTCATGGTTTTGTTGTCCAGTGTATGAAATATTTACCATGCCCTTGTTCCTGAAGAGTTTTCTCCTGAATGTTCTATAGTTTTACATTTAAGTTCAAAAAGCCATTCATTCTGTTAATTTTGTATCAGAAGTGAGGATTAGGATGAGACTCACTTTTTTTATTTTCAATTACTCCAGTACCCTTTGCTGAAAGAACTATCTATCCTTCATTCGTTGACTTGCTTTTGCGTGTTTATCAGAAATCACTTGAGCATATTTGAGGTCTTTCTGAGCTCTTCATTCTGTTCTGTTGCCCTGTGTCTTGATCCTCTGCCACTGTCCTGAAAAGTGTAACTACAAAGTAAGCCTTAATATTGGAAGAGTGATTCCTCTCACATTACCCTTCTTTTTCAAGATTTTTAAAGCTATCCTGGGGTTTGTAGCTTTCCATAACAATTTTAGAATAACTGTCTATATCTAGAAAAAGATGGTGCTGGGAGGTTGCTAGGACTTGTGCTAAACACATAGATCAGTTTGGGGAAAGAGTGTGACATTTTTACTCTGCCAAGGCCTCCAATCCATGAACACAGTATATATCTGCAGATAAATTTATGTTATTAGAACATTGTCAGTTTTAGCATATATGTCCTGCACGTGTTTTAAAGTGTGTGCTTAGGTATTTCATTTTGTTTGAAGCAATTCCAAATGTGCTGTTAGTTTTGGGGTCCATGTGCTCATTGTTATTACTTCTGCTTGGTGCTGTTGGTTTGTATCCTGAGACATTGCCGAATTCACTTCCTAGTTCTGCACTTCTTTGTGCATTCCTTGGAACTTTCCATGTAGATGAGCATAGCATCTGCAAGTAGGAACGATTGATCGCTTCCTTTCCAGTGTGCATAGTTTTCTTACTGCAGTACTAGAACTTCCAGCCCTAGTGAAGCCATGCAGTCTTTCACCAGGAACTCTGATGATAGCTGTCAGTGGTTTCTGGGTGATCTTCATGAGTTGACATAATTCTCCCTCATTCCTAGTTTCATGAGATATTTTTTCACAAATGACAATTAGATTTTTCATGTCAATAGACATGATTATGTGGGTTTTCTTTTTTAGCCTGTTGATATAATTGTTTTTCAGATATTTTTCCATCTTGCCTCTCTGAAATCTCATTTCTTCATGGTGTGAAATTGTGTTATGTGTGTGGCGTGTGTGTGTGGTGTGTGTACTTAGGAATCAAACCTAGAGCTTCATGGACGATAGGCAAGTGTCTACACACCGAGATATTCCCAACTTGCTAATATTTATTAAAGATTTTGCTTGAAAGTACTGGCCTATAGGGTTTTTAAAATATGATCTTCATCTGTGTTTGTTACCAGGGCAATACTGGCCTCATAAAATGAATTGAGACATATTCCCTCCTCTATTTTCTGTGAAAGAGTGTGTAAAATTAGTGTTAATTCTTTTTTGAATATTGGGTAGAATTCTCCAGTGAGATGATCAAGTCATAGAGATTTTTAGGATCTTTTAAATTAAAATATTTATAGGAATAGTCAGGGTGTTTATTTTGTTCAGGATGAGTTTTTTTCTTGTAGTAAACATATATAACATAAAGTTTACCATTCTAACTATATTAAGTGTATGATTCAGTGATGTTAAGTCTATCCGCAATGTTGGGCAACCATCACCAGGAGTTTTTCATCATCCAAAACAGACCCTGCACTGATTAAACAATAACTCCCCTTCTTACCCCAGTCCCTACTAACCCCTATTGTACTCTCTGTCTTTGTATTGTTGTTTGATCCATAGAGATTTACCGAGGCCCTATCCAAAAATGGCAACGTGTGTTAAATGGCTGTGGTCAGTTTGGGAACCATATTATTGGTGTATGAGACTCATTGAGGCTCTCCCCACACAGACATTGCTGCTTTGTTCAGGGTACTTGCTATGTACAGTACTGCCACTGCTTTTCCCCTTGACTGCCTTCACTAGCAGGAACAATTATGGCATACTCTTCTAAAGTTCAAAGGAAGAAATTGTTGGAAAACTCACGAATGCCATGTAATTGATGTGAAACAAGTCCATATTTTTAAAGAAAACTAGTTGCATCCAAAGGCCTAATATTTACCATAGTAACCACACTTATGTAAAATAGTCTGCGTGTGTTGTAAACACTTGTGGTTTACAAGACACTTCCATACTCCACAGGGTATAGAACCTCAGTCTATCTCTGAGCAGTATTATCTGTGCTCCAGGTGCCATCTGGACAGTGGTAACATCTGTGGCTTGGTGCTCTCAGGGGGCATTTTCAAGCTCTAGAACTCTCTAGGCCATGAGGTCATCTTCAGCAGACCTAACCACAGGCTCTATCTCTGCCACTGTCCTGGTCACATGTCCCTCAGTCCCCATCCCCTAAAGAAAAGTGAGCAGTACCCACCTCATTTAAACCTTTTCCACCACTTTGCCATCTGTCTCCAAGTGATTTTTTAGAGGTCATATAGAGCTGCAACAACCAAGACAAGAGCACTGTATCCATGGGATGACTTCCCTAAACTACGATGCGGGTGTACATTATGTTACTAAACACATGACCCTGGCTATCCTCCCTCCCCCTTTAGAGAGATGGGACCATGTCACCACGACTACAACCAGGAGGCCAGGAACAACCAGAGCCCCAGCAAATCCTGACGGTAAGGTGACCACTGTGAGGAGGGCAGTAAGGTAGGATCCATCAAGCCCGTTTTGGGCAGTGTCCGAATGAGTTATTTGTAGTTTCACCAATTAACTGTTTCTTTTGTTTTGGGCCTGGAAGTCAATGACTTTGACTTGGCGGATGCCTTGGATGATCGAAATGACCAGGATGATGGCCGCAGGAAACCCAGTGCAGGAGGAGGAGGAGGTAAGCCCTAGCTAGTTGAAATCAAAGGTCAGCTCTGTAGCTCCTGGTAGGTTCTATGTCATTAACTACAATAGCCCACAGAGCCACACAAGGCCTATGGCATGTCAAGCCATAGGAGACCCTTGAAGCAGTGGTGCTCAAACATCTTGGTGTTAGAACTTCCCAAACTATTGAGGAGCTCTAGAACTTTTATTTATGTGGACTGTATGTATCACTGCTTATTATCTGAGAACTTAAAACTGAAAAATCTTTATTAATCAATCTAAAATGACTATCACTAAAGCCATACCATTAATGTAAATAGAACATTTTATGAGAAATAACTGTGCTTGGCAAGACAAAAACACAATTCAGTGAGAGAGTGGCATTATTTTATGTTTTTGAAAATTTCTCTAATATCTTGCTTGGTAGGAGAGACAGCTGATTCTCACATCTGCATCTCTATTGGTCTGTGATGACATTGTTGTGGTTGAAGTATATCAAGAAAATCTGGCCAGGCCAGGCATAGCGATTTATGCCTGTAATCCCAGCTACTTGGTAGGCAGAAATTGAGATGATTGCAATTCAAGACCAGGTCAGGCACAAAAAAGTTAGCTAGACTCCATTTCAACCAATAGGATGGGCAGAGTGGTGCATGCCTGTCATCCCAGCTAAGTGGAAGGCAAAAGTAGGAGGAGCAGGGTCCAGGGCAAAAACGCAAGACCCTGCCTGAAAAATAGCTAAAGCAAAAAAGTTGGAGAAGTGATCCAAGTGGTAGAGCTCCAGCCTAGCAAGCACAAGGCCCTGAGTGCTGCAAAAAAAGAAAAAAAGAAAAAAGGAAACCTGGCCTCACACAGAAGCAGCTGGAAAGGGGAGAGAGAGATTTGGGGGGACTTTTCAGTCAACGTGGGCCTTCTTTTTTGATAGGACACCAAAACTCCACCAGTGGATTTTCCAGGTTAAGTACAATGTAGAATGTGAAACTCTATCAGCGAACTTTGCTCACTCAGTTTCATTGAATCCCTCTCTTGCCCTTTCAGTGGACTTTTAGCCATTTGGGGTTTTGTAAAATTGCACATTTGGAAAACATTGATGTCCTGAGGTTTTGCAAGCTTCAAAATAATGACACACTTCATTAAGCAAAGCCAAGAGTCACACTGGGTAATATCACCACCATTCTCTTTGGAAAAAGTCTTTACGTACTGGGACTCTATTAAACTCACAGTAACTATGCTGAGGATTTTCTCAAACTCCTAAGCTCACTCGAAATCTTATCATTGACAACAGTACTACTAGTGGCTTTCCAGCATTGATGGGCTCATCTCATTCATGCTCGTTCATGCAACATTGACTAGATATTCAGGTTGGCATGACCACAGTTATCCTGTCATTCATTCAGTTCAGTAAGGGTGGTCTCCTGTGCCAAAAGCAGCTAAAACCAGTTAGAACTGGAGCATTCACACAAGTGCTTTTGTGAGTCAACCACAGAACTTCAGAGTGCAACAGAAATGTTTAAAGCCCTCTTTCCATTTTGTAACAGAACATTCGAAGAGCTGTACTCAATGGAGGAGTGATAATTAATAACCTTTCTGCTTCCTGCATTCATTTTCTATGATAGTATAACAAATTGTTAGAAACTTAGTGAATTAAAAAATTAGTGAGCTAAGACAACACCCATACGTCAGCTCAGTTTCCTACAGTCAGTTAAGTATGTATAATTTTCTGTCCAGGGTCCCATGTATCTGCAGTCAAGGCACTGGCCAGGACTGGGTCTCATTTGACCTTGGGTTCTCTTCCAAGCTCTTACGACTATTGAGGGAGTGTATATTTCCTTTCAGACACAGAGTAAATGATTACTTGCCTCTTCAAGACCAGCAGGAGAGAGGGTTGGAAGAGAGGGAGATAGGGAGGGAGGGAGAGGGAGGGAGAGAGACAGACAGACAGACAGACAGACTGACTCAGTCTTTTGCTTTGGGGGTCTGAGCTCAGGGAAGGTCAAAACCTGCTTTGAACGGGATCACTTGATGAAGTCAGGCCTACTCAGAATAATTAATAACACTTTATTAATGTACCAAATTACCTTTGCAAAATCTCTTCACCTTTGGCATGTAGTATATCATAATCACAGGGGTGTTATCCACCCTGTCCATGGTCCCCTCCCGCTCGGAGTGACACGCATGTACACCAGCAGGGGCAGTCTTGAGGGCCTTCTTGGAATTTTGCCTTTGCCTATCAACCTTCAGCAAGGCATTTTTTGGTGCTGGTGCTGGCCCTTGTGGATGCTAGCTAGGCACATGCTCTTCTGCTAAGCTATTCCCCAGCACCATGAAGGGCATTCTTCAGTGAAACTGGCAACAATTCCTGAAAAAGAAGTTTCTCATTGCTAACATTTTCTTCTGGCCTTTGACATGTATTAAATCTTTTCCAGGTTTCTCAGACAAGGATCTTGAAGACATTGTAGGTGGTGGTGGATACAAACCTGATAAGAATAAAGGTAGGAGTATCGATTTCTCAAACCATGCACCTTATTTCTGATAAAAAAAACACCATGTGAGTTGAGCCATTGCTACTCAGCCTTGGGAAATGAGAGGAGGATGAGACATCTCAGCTTGCAACTTGGCATTCCCTTGGAAGGATGAGCCGGGCAGCTTGAGGGAGACATTTATATGCCATCTTGGAGAAGCTACACCTTTGTCCTGCTCCTGCTTAAGCCCCCGTGCTGCCTGGACTAGAGTCTCCATGCTGGCAGAAGCCAGTTTGTGAGGCTCTGCCAGGGACAGTGACTGGGCAGGGCACTCATGGAGAACTATGGGCCGTACCTCAAAGAGCCTGTCTCACGCAGTGGAAGAGGTCAACCTTATCATCACAAGCACTTTTAAGAGGCCCGCAGAAAGTCAGGTATCTTGGTATTTTGAAATAGTTTAGGGCTTGCAGGAAGTTGTAAAAGTAGTTCAGGAGAGTTCCTGTGGCCTCTTTACCCAATTCTCCTTGGGGATTATGTCTCACATTACACAGCACACTGCTGACATCAGTGCGCCATTGTGAAGTCACTTACAAACCTCATTCTGATTCCATCAGATTTTGCATGCATTCGCACGCACACGTGCATGTGTGTGTGTCTGTGAAATTTTATCATGAGTGTAGATTTCAGTAACCATCACCAGAAACAGAGGATGCAGAATTGTTCCACCACCATGAAGAATCCCCCTCGTGGTGCCGCTGAAAAATCATGACCTCTACAAAGCCACATAGTTTAAGTTCCCCCCAAACTACTAACAATTTAAACCTTTCATTTTATTATACATCAAATCTGATCCTACGTATGGTGGGAGTGTCGGCCAGACTTGTCGATGTGGCTATAACTTGGTATGGCTGTAACTCATGGTTGTAACTTGCTGTGGTCCCGTGTTCAAATGGTAAGCTGTGGTGTGTAACTCTTTGGTTATACCCGTTGTGATGGCAGGTTGTCGTAACAGGGTCTGGGGGTTACAAGCTGTAAGTGTATCTAGCTAACCCTGAAATATTTCCTGTAGTTCAGCTATGGTAGAAGCATTTGCTTCGTTCCCTCAAGAACTGTGCTTTTCATATGGGAACACTACTCTCTTCTGATTAAAGCATACCAGTCACATTTGTCCTTCGAAACACCTTTGCAGATGGTTTCATCTCTAGGTAAAAGCCTCTAAATGAAACTCACAGGTGTCAGGAGAGTAAGGAACATTTAAAGGGCAAACCCAGCAAATTAGCCAATTACTCCTGGGTGACAAATGGTATTTTCAGATGGGAAGATGAGGACAGTAGTCGCCAGTGTGCGCACGCGCACGGATGAAGTCCGAATGACGTGCGGGGGCTTTCTTTACTAAAAGTACTTGTTTTAGCAAGAAAGAAGTATTAGGAAATTCTTTAGTTAGGCTCATATTGGAACTTCTCTTGTAAAGAATAATCAATTGTTAGCTTCAGTTATAGCCTCTGCCATTATGGCTGTTGGTAAAAGCAGATCAAGAGGCCCCTGCAGAAGGACAAGTGTGAACATGAAACATGGTTGTGACAAGCACGCCATGGGTCCTGAGACCCCCCCCACCTTTTACACAGAAACAGCTCATGCTGTGAGTAAACATGTTTAAATAAATTACAAACTTCAGCATAAAAAAGAACCCAATTAATGCATTTTCCAGCCTTAAGTCTTAGGGGCATAGATTGAGCTGTACTTCTGGAGTATATTTCTGAAGAATGTGTCATCTGTTATGTATTTTGCCTCAAGAAACTCTTTACTGGCCCTGTAGGAGTCCTATATTTATCTGGGTGAAAAGACAGTGGTTTGTCAATAGGTCCTTTTGCCTTTCCCTAAAAGGGTGACCATAAGCCTCTCCTCCACCCTCACTGCCTTCCTGCCCAGCCTGGCCTAGGATGCTCCCTATTTCTGCCAAAGCCTCCTGCTTTCCCTAGCACTTTGATGGACCAAAAAAACCTGAAACCATTAACTTTCACCTCCTCATTATCCCCGTCTTTACTCCTAGTGCATGTCAGCCTCTGTTCTCACTGTGGTTCCCACTTACTGCCTGATGTCACAGCCCTCTGCCCTGTGTGACCTCTGCAGCACTGGACTTTGATGGTTAACTTCTCCTTAACATTTTTTCTCCTGTGCCCTTCGCATCTCCCTCACTAGGCTTATTCACCAGTCTCGTTCACTTCCTGGTAGGCATCCAATTCAGTGTGCCTTCATCCTACTGGGAAGACAATGCCAGTTTTCTAGCATTGTCCTTATCTACTTGGCTGTAGTAACATAGTATCATAGTCTGGGTGGTTATACAATAGGCGTATGCTGCCTGGTTCCGGGGGCTGTAAGTCCAAGGTCAAGGTGCCAGCAGATTGGGTTCTTGGTGAGGACTCTCTTTCTGGCATGTACATGGCTGTATTCCCACTGCAGCCTCACGTGGTGGAGAGCAGAGAGGGAGAAAGAGAGGAGGCAAGCTCTCTCATGGTTCCTTCCCATAAAGGCCCTAATCCATCCTGAAGGTTCTAGCCTCATGACCAAATCACCTCCCAAAGACCCCTCCTCCTAGGAGCACCACACTGGAACTTAGGGTTTGAAAATACAAATTTAGGGGCGGGGATACAAGCATGTATGTGTAAACACATAGATCTGTACTTTTGTATTTACCATTAGTAGTTACAATTAACCTAAACATAACTTTCTACTTATGTCTCCAACTGTAATCCAGTACTAAAAAGTTTTTTGGTCTTTCTTGCTCGCTTACCTGTAACTTCCCTCTCTGAGAGTGAAAAACTGGGCTTCTGTAATCTGCCATTCATTTCCTTTATTGCTCACGTCAGGCATATTTATATAGAAGGATCAGAATTGTTAACCAACACCCCTTTGGGACATAGCTGTACAAACTGCAGTCCAGTGTTTGGTTTTTTGTGTCTTAGTCTTACAGTTGTCACTTAAAATACTGCGTTCCAGCTACCTAGACCATCTGCTCCCATCCCACCCGATTCTGTACAGTGAAGGTGTGGATAACGGAGTCCTGTTCGTGCGTCATGGTCTTCATTCCATCTGGATTCCTCTACCCACCTCGTTGATATTTATTTTGTTCTTGTTGTTCTAGACTTTCAGTGCACTCTTTGTGACATACAATTGTATGGGTTTTGACAAATGCGTAAAGTTTGTGTCTACTAACAAGGTATGAGCCAGAACTGTTCCATTACCATGGAAGTTCTTTTCATCCAATATGCATGTAAAGTTCTTAAAAGTGTTCTCATCGCTCCGTAGCTTGTTCCATTTGCACTGAGCAATGCCCGTTGTGTGGGTGCATTGCTGTTTCTCTATTTACCTGTCAAAGGGCACCTTGCTTGCTTCTAGTTTGGGGTGAATGTGAATAAAGCTGCTACAAAACATTACATACGAATTTTTGTTCTGATGCAAGCTGTTTGAATTGTCTTGTCTCCTTCATTGAAAATCAGCTGACATAAATGGAAGAGCTTTTATCTGCACTCTCAGTTCTTCTCTCTTATACTCTATGCTTCTCCTTCATCTGATACTAGATTGTCTCTGCTGGGTATGTGTTTATCTTCAGGGCCACCAGGGCGATTAAGCTCTGTGTGGTGCCTCAGTTCCCCACCTGCTATTAATTCTCTAGCCAGGTGACTGATTGGTGGCCTGCTCAGGCTAAAGGAACCATGGCCCTACCCTGTTTTTTTGCTACCAAGGTTGCCACATTAACTGACAGACGAAGCTCCAAGTCAAGTGGGCCTTTGGGCAGCTGCAGCACAGTTGCTGGGTTTTGTGGCCTGGGGTAAACTATCTGCTAAAAGTCCCAGGAGAAGGTGCCACGAGAAGGGTCCGTGGGCAGAAATGCCAGACCCAAGCTATTCTCACTGGAACTGAATCAGCATTTGGAAATGGCTGTCTTTGACTTTGTGTCCAGGTCTATAGTCACTTTTGGGGGAGAGGAATTGTTTATCTCACTCCCTCACACCAGAAGTCCTCTCCCTTTATACCTTTTAAATCTGGAATATTCTTTCTCTTTCTCTCTCCTCAAACCTAGGCATTCATCTTCCTATGGACTACTCTTTAGCTGGTTAACTGGTCTCCTCATTCCAGTGTGTCCTCCATGCAGCTGCCAGGGAACCTTCTGATCATAGCACTCCTGTTTAAAATGACTGTTTAATAACGAACAGACAAATGTCCCAAATAAAACATGAGCATTAGGTGTGAATGGCTAGTCCACAGAGAAAGTCACATGGTGTTCAGGGTCAGTAATTTTCAAGGAAACACATGCTAAACCTGCAGGGAGATGCAGCCTCACGCGGAAGCTAAAGTTACAAAGACCGGCAGTACCAGCTGTCCTCGGGGTGTGAAGCGGTGGAACTCACACATTGTTGGAAAGCAGTGAACTTTCTTGTCAAACTGATCCTAGACCTACCTAGTGGGCCAGAAACTTCAGCCCTATTCAGTAGACCCGAGAGCTTTGTAGCAAAAAAAAGAAAAAGGAAGAAAGAAAAGAGGAAGGGAGGAAGGGAAGAAGGAAGGAAGGAAGGAAGGAAGGAAGGAAGGAAGGAAGGAAGGAAGGAGGGAGGGAGGGAGGGAGGGAGGGAGGGAGGGAGGGAGGGAAGGAAGGAAGGAAGGAAGGGAGGGAAGGGAAGGGAAGGATAAAGAGAGGGAGGGAGGGAGGAAACAAGAAAGGGAACCTGATGATCCCTAGAGCCACCTGAACTGTGGGACCATGACCATGGAATGACATGAAACCATCAGGCCCTCGCTGCAGCTGGCAGGGAAGGGTGCAGTTTCACAGCCTGAAACTGATCTGTAAACCCAGCTCTCCTCCGGGTGAGCTCCAGGGCAATTGTGGAAAAAGGGGAAAGAAGTAATGAAGCTTGTGTGTGGCCTTGGGCTATGTCCTCTATCCGCTGGCACCCTGTCCTTGAGGTGCTGTTGTACTTGTGTAGCCGCTTCAGAAAAAGGGTGCCTTCCCTGGACCTTCCTCTGGTCTTGGC